ATGGTTTCTTTTTGTGTGAAATTGTTGTTTAGTACATTTGTCTGGGTGAAAAGCCATAGGCCAATCTACTTCCCACTTTGCTGCAGCGTCTAGATCTTCTTGTAATTTGTTGCAGTCTGATTGAGATTTGATTTCTCTATATATGATGCTGTCATCAGCAAAGAGTCTTAATTTGCTATGTGTTAAATATTCGGAGAAGTCATTTATGTAAATGAGAAATAATATGGGGCCCAGTACAGTACCCTGTGGAACTCCAGATGTAACTGGCACTGATGTAGAAGAAATACCATTTATTACTACTGTTTGTGTTCTGTCGGATGAGAAAGCTTGGATCCAGTTAAGTGTAATTTTCCTTATACCATAGTATTTAAGTTTGTAAAGTAATCGTTGATGAGGAACTATATCAAACGCTTTAGCAAATAGATATAGGAAGATGTGGCATGAATGCCAATGAGACAACTCTCCATCCAAGTTACAATTTATAAAAGTAAACCATTATAGGTCAATGTCCATAATGATAAGGTCAGTTTGTATGTTACTATTACTACTAGATGATAGTTCTTGAATGAAGTCAATTAATTGTGTTTCACAAGATCGTTTTTTTCTGAAACCATGTTGTAGATTATATAAGATGTCGTTTTTTTTTCTAAATGTGACATTATGTTACTTGACTTGTGATGATATGTTCCATGATCTTACAGCATATACATGTTAATGATATGGGTTTATAGTTTACAGGTTTATATTTTTCCCCTTTTTTTAAATGCGGGGCAACGTAGGCATGCTTCCAATCTTTTGGTGTTTCACCGGACTCTAATGACTTACTGAATATTAATGTAAGTATTGGTGACACTTGCTCTTTTAGTACTCTACCGTTTATATTGTCAGATCCACATGCTTTGTGTGGGTTAAGATTTGATAGTAACTTTTTGACTCCTGTTTTGCTAATAGATATATGTGGCATTTCAAGATGTGGGCTAGTACGTTTGTCTGGGATATAGGTGGACCGATAGAAACTGATGGTTTAGGACGTTTGCTTTTAACTATCAAGAGCACTACACAATTGCATAAACCTAAAGGGTTGGATTCTTATGTGCTATTGGGCTAAAATATATTATTTCGCTTTGATTTTGTTGTATTTCGTTTATTCATTTTCCATTTCGTTGCGATTCCGTTTCTCACTTTATAAGTACCCCATCTGATGCCCCCTTTGTCTAGTTGCAGGGGCATTAAAACTAGAGGCTCTATAAAGAGCCTGTGTCGCTCACCTTGGTCTATGTACATATTCAACAAAGGACACTCTCCAACATTGTAGACGAGAATAGAATTCATGACAAAAATCTGTGTTGTTGATCTTGTATTGCTGATCATTTAGTCTGTTTAGTTTCTATCTTCTTTAGTTTTTATCAAAACACAAGAGGATAAAAAAAATCATTATTTAAGGGGCTGGGCAGTCGAAATGTGACTTGATAGTAGATCTTGCCTTGCTGATCATTTTTATGATTTAAAGTGTCTATTTATCTATTATAATTTTAACATGCAAGGCAAAACCCCCCAAAAATGATAAAAATCGTCACTAAAGGGCAATAATTCCAAGGAGACGTCAGACGATTTTTTCTATTTGTCTTAATTATAAATCTCGTCTTGATGATCATTTTAGCTTATTTAAGTTTCTATCTTTCTGTTATAAATTTTAAGATATAAGGCAATAAACTGCTTCGCTGAGCGCAGCTGGATACGCCCGCAGAGGTCCAACCCTGAGCAGTTGGGGCAAAAATGGACACAATATTCAAGCTTGATTTAGGTCTGAATTTGGATTGTATTAAATATTTGACATATTATAGGTTTCTGAATAAATGTAGTCAAAGAACTTGAAATTGGTTATATGAATTGAATTTATATTCAATTAAAGATTTCTTGCTGTTGTGCAATACACTGTGCTGTTGAGCAATACTTAGTAAATCTGTTATCAGACTATAAACAATTAAAGTTCAATTAATTCTCAATGTCATATTACAAATTTATGAAAATGTAAAGGGAGCTTACATCAATAGATATAAACAATTCACCAAAGTTTCATGAGAATAGCTGACAGCATTTTTGAGTTGTTGTCCGAAAACTGGAAAATCCCTCCTTTTTTAATGAATAAAACCAAATAATTCAGACGGACAACGGTATACCATAATACGTCCCGTAAACGGGCGTATAAAAACGCAAAAAAATGGTAAAATTCATCATCAAAGGGCAATAACTCTAATAAGGAGTCGGATGACGATTTCGAAAATGAACTTATCTGTAGAACTTGTCTTGCTGGTAATTTTTGCAATTTAATGTTTCTCGGCATCTACTATAGTTTTCCAGATATAAGGCAAAAATGAAAAAAAAAGTAAAATTTGTCAATTAAGGGCAATAATTCCTATAATAAGTCGTCTGACAATTTTGACGTATATGGACAATTGGTAGAGCTCAACATTCTGAACACTTTTGCTCTTGTCCGATTTTCTCTATATCACGGTTTTCAAAATAATAGACAAAACTTGTATTTTACCTTATGTTCTATTTTTAGCCATGGAGGCCATGCTGGTTGTCAGGCGGGGTCATCGTACACATTTTTTAATCTAGATACCCCAATAATTATTGTGGCCAAGTTTGGTTAAATTTGGCCCAATAGTTTAAGAGAAGATTTTTGTAAAAGTTAACGGACAACGACGACGGACGACAAGTAATGAGAAAATCTCACTTGGTCCATTTGGCCAGGTGAGCTATAAACATATTGCACCAGACTGAACATCATCAATTCATTGAGTCGTTGTAGCCTGGGATCCTGGCCAACTGCTATCGACGAAGTATTAGATTGGGTCAGGATGCCAGGCTATGAGTCGTTGATCCTACGCATTGGGGAATGTAGGCGAGCTATGTTTCACTTCCTCAACAAATTATTGCACAAATCAACTGTTTAGATAGGGGTTTAAAAAGGTCTGTGCTAGGGGCTCCATCTTTAAGTTCGTGAGCTCAAGTGTTTTATTGTTCAGTGACTTTCAGCTGGGACTATTATAGTATAATAGTCCCAGCTTTCAGATGAAGAACAGCAATGAAAGCGTCTGTTCCTATGTTTGTAGTGTAAATGTACTGATTTTGTGTCATGGATGGATACCTCATTCCTTCGTTTTCTCATTTTGACCAATGACAAGATATAATTTATAAACTCTTCTACAGATATGTCTTGCCTGTCAGCAGCAAATAAAATAAATGGGGAATGTGTCCATGGGACACAAGACGATGCCCTCGCTTGCATAAAACCATATAAAGGGACACAACTCAAGAACAGTTAAAGTGAAACTACCCAAATTCGTACTTGGATCTAAGCATTGTGTAAAAGTTTCATAACATTTGGTAGAGGCAAACTTAAAGGAAACAGAAACGAAAATTTCAGCAACTTTTCCATTTGTAAAGGGGAATAACTCTAGAACGGTAAAAGTGATGCAACCTGAATTCAAACTTGATCTGTCTCTTGTGAAGCATTGTGTTCAAGTTTTACAACATTTGGTTGAGGAAAACTAAAGTTAGAGAACAGAAATGAATGATTCAACAATTTTGCCAATTGTAAAGGGCACAACTCTAGAAAGGTAAAACTGGATATGTGTTTTGTTGTAATAAGCATGGTGTAAAAGTAGAAATCAATTTTGGGAAGTATAGACAGAGAAGGGTAAAACTTAAATGGGGAATGTGTCCACTATGGCGTGGGGAATAAAAATAAATGGGGAATGTGTCCACGAGACATAGATGATGCCCCCGCTTGCATACGTTATAAAGGGACACAACTCAACTGTAAAAGAAACGCTACCCAAATACTTGATCCAAGTTTTGTGGTAATAAGCATTCTGTATAAGTTTCACAACGTTTGTTTGAGGCAAACTATGTACGAGTTGGTTGAGGCAAACATGCAAGAGAACGGAAACCAATTTTGGGAAGTACGGACAAGGGTAAAACTTAATTCCCCCTCTGCTACGGTGGGGGCATAAAAAGACGACGTTTTGCAACAAGGCATGACAAGGTCAAATTGATAGTAATGCAACTTTATATATATTATTGATCTATCACAAGATGTTCCTATCAAATGGACTTAGACAGAAAAGTTATCAATAGCTATTAATTAAGTTGCTGGACCTTGACATAGGGGCAGGGTCTCGTAATAGCTGTCACACTATTATGTACCTATGGTAATGCAACTTTATAGGAACTATCATTGCTCTATAACAAGTATTTTGCATCAAACTGACTTAATAATCAAAGTGCTTGTAAGCACTGAAAGGTAAAGATTGCTTTAAATTATCAGTGGAAGTAAAATTAAATATTGCATTGTATAAAGCATTGGTTGTACACAAATTCTTGACAAAGGAAGATAACTCCAATTCTTAGAGATGACTTTAACAATGACATGATAAAATTCATTGATATTTTTAGAACAGATATTAGATTCCTGCACCTTACAAAAGTTGCAGGAATCTAACAAAATTATGTTTACTTGTTGACAAGTAAACATAATTTTGTAACTTGAATATGAGCATATATTTCATTGATAAATTTCATGAAAAGTTCATGGATAGGATTGTATAGAATATAATGATCAATGCACTATATTATGTGTATCTCAAAAACGGGGATAAACCTTAGAAGATTTAGATATCAAGTCAGTACCATAGGGTTTTGAATGCATTTCATGCAATCTTTACCCCCAAAAAATCTTGACATTGAAAGTTGCCAGACCTTGGCCTCGAAATAGCCACCAAAATGTTAATAATGCAATGTTATACAAGATATCATTGGTGTATCACAGATAGTTCCTATCAAACTGAATTAAGCAGAAAACTTCACAATAGTTGGAAGTATCCTTCGTCACAAGAAAAGCAATACCTATGTCTCGCATTCCATCTCAAGACAAAATCAGATAAATCTGGTTGAATTCCATGCCTTACACCTGGCAATACAAACAACAATAGTTTTAAAGACTTTATATAATTTACTTCTTCTGAAGACAGTGATCAATTAAAATACATGAAATTAATGTAGATTTTCTAACATTTTTAATTAATTTTATGATTGAATCCATGGATAACTTTGCTCCTATGTTCAAACACTAATTGTTGAATAATTCTAACTGTTACAAAGTGCACAATGCAATGGTATAAAATGAGAAGTTTTCATATTTAAAAACAAATGGAATTTTCAAGACAACAAATGACACATAGTTACAAATCATGGAGATTTATATACACCACTAGTTATGTGTCAATACACATTTTAAGTCTTTTTTTTTACTTCAACACCATAAACAGTTTATCTGTTATTGCAAGGTTTGGCACTGACCTAAAAGAGAAGAAAAAAAGATAGTTAAATAATGTCAAAACAATGAAGAATCAGGACTTGAGATGAATAACTCTATTTCTCTACACTTGGAACGTTTGCTTGGAGTGATGTTAACAGAAATAACTTCATAAAATTACTTGATTGTTTGACTGAAAAAATACACAGTGAAACTTTTGATCATTCAAGTAGAACATCCCCTCAGAAGTAATGGAAGTAATCTTTCGCATTTGATGAAATTTTGCTTTTATCTTGTCCGGAGAGAAAAATTTACTACTGCAGTAAAATTTCTAAAAACAGAAAATTTCCAAGATCATCTTTGCCTTTTGATTTCAATGTTGGGATTGCTATAAAGATTTCATCAATTCAGGGATACTGTAGCAACTTTGAAATGATTTCAAACCATTTATTGAAGTATTTGAACTCTGGTCCTTGAAAGTTTTCCACAATGAGAATAGTCAAGGTTTCAGACTATCAAAGCTTTACAATTGTAAAGTACTAATTGTAAAATGTAAATGTATCAACATTTCGAAATTTATGTAAAGAAAATCTACATTCATCCAATCTTGATTCCTTTCTTTAATGCAGCGAAAATCTCATCAATAATTGTGGAATAGAGTGTGCTTCTAAAAATTTTCCCAAATTAAAACATTATTTCCCATACCACTGAATTAATTTTCAAAAACAAAAATCATACATGTAAAAGATATCTTATGTCTGCATGTTTTCATCTGAAGACTTTTTGAAAAAGAAAATATAGTGTGCTCACTCAAAGCACCGAACAGGAAAATTTGTCAAAATGAAATTTAGGATCTTAGTAGAGCCAGGTAAAATTCTAACTATCTTTGAGCAGCAAGACATTTCAATCACACTTCTTTTGATATGTAATTTCTTCCTTATACAGTATATAAGAGGTTTCACTGTAAAATGTTAATTTCTCCTACTTAAATGTCAGAGTAGCAAGTCATAACCTTAACAATGTGCAAACTTACAAAAATTTATGTATTATGGCGGGAGAATTAGTTTCACTTATTTAATATCTAAGAACATAACTAATCTATAAAATGTATATATTATTTTTGTCAAACTTCATTTGTCTCATCACAACAGACTTTTTCCCAATTAAACAGAATGAACAGGAACTGGAAGTTAACTTTAATGCGATAGAGTTTCTGAAGTGTAAACAGCCAAGTTTTATTCAGTCAAGTCCACACATCTAAATTAACACAACCTTTACCCATCACTCTGTACATTTATTGAGGTGTTGCTGTTAAGCTTATACATAAAGCAAGCTTTCCACCTCATGCCCTGCTCTTGCTCTGTCCTCTGCAACAGGCATATACTCCTTTAGTAGAGCACCTAAATGATAGTAATTCATTTTTTATTTTTTCTGCTATCAAGTCCATTCACAAGCTGCCAAGTCAAATTTATTCTTTTGCTTTTATGTTACATTTTTTCTCCATGACCAATCACTAGTTTGCATTTGGGATTTTTTCAAAATACAAGTTACGTGTATGTGAAAAATCTCAAATGTAAACTAATTACGGTGGCGAAATATTTAAACATATGCATATGCATTAAATTAATTAACACATTAAACCTGTAAGATGGAACTAATATTAAGCCCAAACATTTAAGTTTATCGAGAAAACATGGTTTAAATGTATTTTTCATATAGTGTAAAAACATTTTCTTTAAATTTATCCTGATAATCGGATGCACTTTTAATTCAAACAATTATTTCAAATTTTTAGAATGAATATTATGAGAAGAATTTGCTTTAAACATTTTTTAACATATCTGGACAAGAACTGAGAAACTTCCAATGGTAATTTATGTATTTGAACTATTTTGCTGAGTGTTATTGTTTGGGAAAGAAACACATTTTTTACCTGTCTTCCATCAATTTCGTGTTGTTGTTGGTGGTGAAATACTACGTCTAAATTTCTTGGATCTCTGAATGTCACAAAACCAAAACCTCTGGACCTTCCGGTTTCTCTGTCCATGATTACAACAGCATCTGACAGTGGCCCAAACTTACTGAAGTAGTTCCATAAACTCTCTGCATAACACAAAAAATAATATGCCAATTTATTTGTTTATAATACATGTGTCCATTCAACTTGTAAAATAACAGAGAATAAAAGAACAGAGTTCTTTTGTCCCTATGGCAGAATTATGTACATTTTATCCTTCCAAGGGAAACAACTGTTCTTTCAACTTTTTATAGATATCTTCAGAGAAATCAAGACTCAAGAGCAAATTGTAATTTCCAAGAGGCATTACTATTTCTGATTATATAATAATAATAATAATAATAATAAATTCTTTATTTAAAGAGGGTAAACTCAGTTAGTTACAATAGACTTATCTTCCCTGAGGCGCTCACATACAAATTACAATACAATCAAAAACAGATATTTACACATAGTTAATTTACAGTCAATTAGTTCAATGTAACATTACTAACATGATAAGATATAAGGCTGTTCAAGATGCACATGTAGTCAAAAAATCAAATAAAAATAAAAATAAAAGAATATACAAATACATTGTAGAAAACATAATCTTATCAGGACTGTGTTAAGTACTTCTTGATACTTTGTTTAAAAGTTTGATACTTTGTTTAAAAGTATAAGCGTTTTGAGCTTTACGCATTTTGTGTGGTAGTCCATTCCATAACACTGATCCAGAATAAACAAAAGATTTCTTAAATAGCTCAGCTTTTGGCTTAGGAACTATCATATTACCTTGAGTGACACCTCTCAAGGAGTAAGGATTATTATCTGATTTCAGTTTAAACTTTTGAACTAGGTACATTGGAGCTTCCATACGCATACATTTATATAGAAGTAAATATTTGTGGTATTTGATTCTATTGTCAACTGTCATCCACCCAAGTTCTTTAAATAAGGGGGCTGAGGGGGATAAAGGATCTGCATCTAGAACTAATCTTGCTGCCCTTTTTTGGAGTTTTAAAATTCTTGTTATCCCTTCATTTTAACATTCACCCCAAATAATACAGCAGTAGTCAATCAGGGGCAGAATATACCCATTGTAATATGTTTTCCTTGCATTTATATCTAAAAATTTCTTTATTTTAGAAAGAAGGTATATTCTGGATGATATATTAGCACAAACTTCGTCAATTTGATTTCTCCAGCTAAGTGTGCTGTCAATTTTAACGCCTAATAATTTTTCACATGAAGAATTTTGTAATACTTTTGAATTTATTATAAAGTTTGGTTGATAAGTCTGAATTGATAGTTTCTGCTTTGTTCCAGTAACCAAACATTTTGTTTTGTCTGCATTATTGAACATGTTATTAATTTTGCACCACTCTTCAACCCTGTATAAATCTTCTTGAACATCATCATGTATATTTTCTATGTTTTTCCCTGATTTATGAAGAGTGGTGTCATCAGCATATAGGTCTGTTTCACAATTTTCAATGCATAAGGGAAGGTCGTTTATAAATAGCACAAACAATAGAGGACCAAGTATAGAACCTTGGGGTACACCAAATTTTACATGTTGTTGTTTAGAGTAAACATTACAAATGTTTACCTGCTGTTTTCTGTTATTCAGGTATGACTTGAAAAAACTAACAGCAGCCTCACTAAATCCATAAATTTCAAGTTTTAAGCAAAGAATGTCATGATCTACCAAATCAAAAGCTTTTTTAAAATCTAATAAAATTGCTACCGTAGAAAGGCTTGTATAGTTCGCAGTGGTACATAGTCCGCACCCCCTTCTCCCCACGAAATTTTAGGTAAAAAAACTTTTTGTAACTGTTAGAAAAGGTCTAATGAAACTCCGGTAATTTCAAATCCTGTGCGGTCGTTTGCGGTATTTTCTTGGAAAAACCTGTTTTCCATCATCAAACAGAAGCTGAAACTGCTTGTTAATGATTCTAGAACGCTTCATGATTGTTAAAATAAGTTTAATTTACTTAAAAAACAATTTAGAAACTTGTGTATGTTTAAACAGGAAGTTTAAAAAGCACGTGTAAAAGAAGAAATTAACCGGTGAGAGTCGAAATCCGTACATAACAGATATCACTATAATACGACTTTGAAAGTAAAACAGTTCCATCCTTTTGTAAAACAGTCTTTAATATATCTATCACATTAATGTTTGAAGGGTCTTAAGCTAATACAAACCATATTAGTCAGTATGAAACACCAAAACGGAACGAACAATAACCGATTTCGTTTTGTAGTTTACAAATTCTAAGCTGGTTTACGGTTGTCTTTTTCACTATGTTTGTATCGTTTCAATCGAGCAGATACCAGTTTATTTCAACCAATGCATTGAAAAGAAACGAGAAATTTGTAATGAAAGGTTTAGTTTTTATATTTATCAGTATTAATTTGATATTGAATAGAAATAACTTATTAATATGGATGAGTTAAAATTATTAGTTTGAAAAATTAAGAGCGCCCTCTACAATAGAAATAACAAAGATGGCGGAACGTAAACAAACCACCTCGACCGCGAAATTGAAATTTTTCTCTTATTTCTTGCTTATTGTACTCTATAGTCCGCACCCCGTCTGGAAGGTCCAATTTAGGAGAATAAAACCGCGGACTATACAAGCCTTTCTACGGTAGGTTTAAATTACCATCATTCATTTCTTGCAACCATTTGTCAATGATATTAATAAGTGCAGTTTGACAAGAATGCTGCGGCCTGAAACCAGATTGTGTAGGGTGTAAAAGTTTAAGTTTAGATAAGTATTTGTACATATTATTAGAAACATGTCTTTCTATTAATTTTGATAAAGTTGGAAGAACAGATATAGGTCTGTAATTTGTTGCTAAAAGCTTGTCACCATCCTTGAAAACTGGTGTTACCTTAGCATTCTTCAGTAAAGAAGGATATATACCAGTATCTATCATTCGATTAAATATGTATGTGAGAGGTGATGCAATAACAGGGGCGCTTAATCTTAGAATTTTTGGTCCTATAATATCCATACCAGATGCTTTGTTTATATCAAGTTTTGTTAACTCATCAAATAGCTCATTCATGATCACTGGTGGTATAGAAAATTTATCATGTTTATGTAATTTATTTTTAACAAATTTACCAAGATTACTGAAATCTGCTTTGTTTACAGGTGTATAACTTCCTTGTTCTCTTAATTTTTCAGCACAGGAAGTGAAAAAGTTATTAAAAGTTTCTGCTATTGATTTTTTACTTTTAGTTGTATTGTTATCTTCTGTGGCTAACTCATATGGTGTATTTTTAACTTTTGGGTTCAGACTGTGAAGACATTTCCATAAAGTTTTAGGGTCATTGGAGTCTTTTACCATATTTTTATAATAATTCTTTTTTGAGCTATCTATGATATGTTTAGTTTTATTTCTCCAAAATCTATACTCACTCCATAAACCAAGTGCATTATATTTATCTCTCATATTCCTAGCATAAATGATTTCACTGTTATACCATTCAGGCTGTCTGTCCCTTTTAACTCTCTTTTTAACAACAGAAGCATGTTTATCTAAAGCTTTGTTCAACATATCATAAAACAATTGTAGACAGTCAGAGGGGTTTTCTTCAAATTCAATTTTATGAAAAGGTGTATTTTGCAGATCTAATAAAAATTCATTTTGGTTGAAATTTTTGAAATTTCTATAACACTGATTTTCAAACTTGTTAGAAACATTGCCGATACTAACCCAAGATTTGTCAAGAATTGTATGCGAGAGCACTTACAAGACCAGACGGACAGACGCCTGGTATTTCTACGTTCCCCACAACCTGTTGCTAGGGGGACAATTCTTCATAGTAAAATAGATCGCATTTTTCTAGACACAAGGAGAACATGTTATTAACAGTATATTTATGTAAAATTCACAACACAGAAAAATACGACAAAATATTTGAAATTAAAACAAAAAAATAAGATTTAGGAGAAGGACCTAATTCTAACTTGTCCTTCAGATAGCACTGGGGGGTCTCTTCCTATATGAAAGTATATACATATGTGCCGCTGGAATGGGTCCCTTTTTTGATACGTCAAATATATCAATGGGGTGCAATTTTACCGAGGAAATATATCAATAGGTAGTAATTGTGGTATATAAATGGGTCATAATTTTTCAGTTGGTTGTGCAACTATCTTCACTGATTTTCCCAAACTCTTTGTCATTAAAATTTCCACATCTGCTGAAACTTATTGACAAGTTTTGTTATTGATAAATATATGAATGGGTTATGATTTCGCTGTGAAATATATGTATAGGTAAGGATTTCACAATTATTCAATATATGAATTGGGGGTGTTTTTTAAATCCCAGCTGCACAACTGTATCCCAAAATCCCATGTTGAGACCCCCCCCCCCCCCCAAAATATATTTTTATAAGCTTGTTTGCATTCGTTGCAATGCAGGTCATCCTGTTATAACCTGCCCTAATGGGCAGACATTTACATTGCATAACCAAAGACCTTCTTTTGCTAATCCAAGATTCAGGTCCCCTAGACCTCAAAGCAGATATAATTTCTCATTTAGGCAACCTGGTTAAAACCCAAGACTAATGCATTTATGGGACAAGGGGCATACCCCCATAAGAATTAAATGTTTAGAAGCATGTTTGGTAAGTTACCCCGACAAAGTGGTTGCTGCTGAAATTTTTTCTGTTTTTTTTACATGGATTCAGACTCCAGTATACAGGCCCTCGCATTCATTCTTTTTCAAAAAATTTAATTTCAGCTGAACAAAATAGTGATGAAGTTTTACACAAGTTGCAAAACGAGGTAAATCGTGGTAGAATGTTAGGGCCTTCCAAAGTTATGCCCATTTCAACCCTCCGTATAAATCCTATAGGGCTTGTGCCTAAATCAGACAGTAGTTGGAGACTAATAACAAATTTATCGTTCCCGCCAGGTGAAAGTGTTAATTCATATATTCATCAGGTATATTGCAAGGTGAATTACACTTCTTTAGACACTATTTTAGAAAAAAATTATCAATGCAGTTTGTCATCAGAACTGGCTAGAATTGATATTAAGTCGGCTTTTCGGAATTTGATAGTAAATCCTGCTAACTTTGA